AATCTAATCTCCTCTATCCTCATTCTTTTCTTTGCTTCAAGAATTCTTCATCCTTCGAAATTTCCTCAAACAATACTTTGCTTCAAGGAAATCCATCGGTCATCATGATTCTTTGAGATCGATCAGGGACAATCTCGAAGTAACCATTTTCCTGAAACACTATTACTCACCTGCATTATTTGAATTCGAATGAGGTGTCGGGAGAATGCATAAAATTACAAAAGATATAGTTTCATCAGCTGTTCTTATGTGAACTGTGACCTTCTGGTTATTTCGTGGTGCACTTACCCTCGAACGATGTGTAGCAACGACTTTCATGAGAAGTACTTGTGTGTGTCAACATAAACAGCCCTGGAAATACTATCACAGTTCTCTCATTATTTCGAGACAACGGACCGCAGTTGTTGAATAGAAACACATCTCAACATTCTACAAGGGAATCAAACTTAGAATTTGTCTTTGTACAGTGACCGTGCACTTCTATTTGATCGATTTCAAAAACACACCAAAAAAAGCTATTTTACTACTTTTTAATAAATAGATTATTATTCTTTTAAATAATTTTATTATATTATAATTTAAGAAATCAATAATTTATAAATTAATAAAATTGAATATGAAATCCAATTTTATTTAAAATCTTTATAAAATATAATATATATCTTTGAAATCTTAATATCAAAAAGTTCTTGAAAATTCGCTTATTTTTGCTATAAATTTCAATAATCCAAAATCTTGAAACTTTAAATCAATATTTTATAATAAATAAATTCTTTAAAAATAATTCGAATAATTTTTATAAAATAATATATAAAAGTTAATATAAAAATATAAATATTTTTTTAATAAATATATGATTTTTATTAAAACTAAATATATTTAAATAATGAGTTTTGGTGCAAAATAGCTATCGACCAAGTAGAAGTGCCCTAGTACTGTAGTATACTCCCAGAGACAGAGCTTTCTAGCAATTGATTATGATGGTGTGAATCTATCGGCGCTAGACCGCTGTCCCGCTAGCTATTCTAGGCAGTATTCATTAGATACACGCCTAGCTCTTTGCCATGGATTCGATAATAACACTCTTTTACCGGGTAATCAATACTGGCCGCCGGGAAAGGATTTGTCTGTTCGCTCTCAATGCCGATACATCACATCTTTCACTGGTTTTTCAACACAAGGCAATCGTCAAAACTGTACTCGATTCGAGAATATTCTTTTGTTCTTGAAAGGTGTCTTGGGATTCCGAATGCTGTCTGGCAACAGAAGACTCTTTCTCTTTCTGCCAGAATGATTAATTGGGCGCGCTCTATTTTGCTAACTACGAAGTTTTCAATCCTCCAAGTTTTCTCTTCTACTGCAAAGACGTCACTCGTGGCAACTAATTTTAAATCGACTGTCTCAATCAAAACATACATCCTCACATCTAGTACCTCGGATCAATGATTCCAATTGGTGTTTCACCTATTATTATATTGACGTTGGCGCCAGACATAGACGATCACTCCGTTGCAATCTGTTAATTGTCGATCGCTGCCGCTGACCGAAACAAGCTTATTTACAAACTCAAATTATAGGGAGAGTCAAGAAAGATCGTAAAAAGTCTCGATCTCTTTTCTACCTCGACCTTCAATTCGATTGTGGACCTCAAAATTCCGGAACACTCCGACCGAAGCCCTTTTATCGCTATGCTATACACTCAGACTTAGTGGTTTGAGTTGAGGGTACCAGCGGGCTCATATTTAGTCTCATGAGTTTGAAGACAAGATACGGAATTGCCTTGAAATTGCTCTTATCAAATCATCACTCGTTTGCTAATTCTAATCCCATTATTTTTGCTCTGCATCATCGAGCAGAACAACGCGGGGTAGGACTGATAGGAAGCTAGGCCCCCATCTATGAGTACAGTGTCTCTCGGCGGACCGAAAAATAAATTATTGTGAAGCTGAAGGAGAAGATGATTTGCGACCTCACTAGTGTCGAGTTTAGTTGCTGCTTACTGTGGCATCTGGAGCATGGAATGAGCAGGTTGAAATCGAAGCTGGATTCATTGGTATGTCTAACAAAGAGGGACATGTCATGCAGTGGTGGTATACAGAGTAGTATATCTTCCCCATGATTTTCATTGTGATAAATTGGATGATACTAGATTCAAATTTCCGATGAACATATGACTCAAGATACCGCTGTTGATCATTCAATAGTCAATTGGTCTGTAGAAATTCTGCTGACAAAGCATCCTCCTCAGCAAAAGATCTCCAGTTCCCCTATTTTTAGAGGCTCTAAACAGCCTTTTTGAAGAAGCTCGTTCTTTCTATCCTAAGTGAAGCTTGGCTTCAGGCACCTGCCAGGAACAAATTCTTCAATTGATTTTGTATTGGATCATGGTAAAGAGCGCGAAGAAAAAGGAATGATTTCCTTAATGAGAAGACTTGTATATATTGGTTTCACCTATCAACTGAACGATTTATGTTTCACCGGTTTTCAAATGCTAAACCTACCTGTATTCTTGATTGATCTCGATAACGTCAATGAGATTTTGGATGCCCCTGAGGGAAGAGTTCGGCTAGAATAGGTAATCTTGGTATAGGTTCAGCCATTAGTTTGCCAGGGCATTCAGCTGGTAGGCGACTTACTCTACATCTCAACACTCCCTCGTCATCCTTCCTTCATCATCATTGCATTCATCCATCACGATACCAAGAAATCTTTGAATTCAAACATTACACATATTTCACGATGCAGTATTCTTTCATTGCAGCGACCCTAATGGTTGGAGCTGTTACACCGTTCCCGTTTGTTGCTAAAATGCCTGGTGTCGACTCTAGTCTATTACATAGACAACAACAGCAGCAACAAGGAAATTGTTCTTGCCCATTCAATGCAAATCACGTCAATGCTCCGGGTATTTCAGATGCTTACCCATATAACGGTGCTAAGGATGGCCTTCCAGGTAAAGGAAAGGGAGGCTATCAGGTTCCAGCTCCTGGGGACACTGATCATCAATTCATCGCTCCAAAATCGACCGATATTCGTGGGCCTTGTCCAGGATTAAATGCGGCTGCCAATCATAATTTTCTTGCTCGAGATGGCATTACAACATATAATGAACTTGTTGATGCTCAACAAAATTTGTACAACGTTGGCTATGAATTGGCCAACCTTCTTGCTGTTCTCGGCCTTACATTGACCGATGGCGATATCGTAACTGAGAAACTTTCCATCGGGTGCGATGCCACCTCAAGAACGTATTTCCTACCAGCTACTCATGGTTCAGAACCGGGCTTGAATGCACACAACAAGTTCGAGGCTGATACATCCCTCACACGCAACGATCATTTCCTTGCCGATGGCGATAATTATTCATTTAATGGAACACTTTTTGGAATGATGACGGAAACTACCAGTGGAGATTACAATCGTGACGGACTTGCTAAATACCGAGCACAGCGTTACCAACAATCCCTCAAAGACAACCCATATTTCTATTTCGGTCCCTCTTCTCTGCTCCTCTTCGGCGCTGCCTCTTTCTTGTACGAGTTGATGCCATCTGGAACAAAAAATTACACGCCAGACTATGATACAATTTCTTCATTCTTCGGTGCCAAGCAGGATTCAGATGGTTCATATTCTTTCACGGGCGAGGAAAGAATCCCAGATAACTGGACAAACCGTGTCACCCCATATTCCCATACCGACGCCACAAATGAGATCCTTGCTCTATATCTCCAAGAACCAGTTTTGTTCGGTGGTGCTACCGGAAATGGTGGCTTTGATCTCATCAACTTTGGTTCCATCAAAAACGGAACATTGATTGCAACGCCTGGTTCTTTAGAGGCTTCTTGCTTGCTCTATCAACTTGCTACTCAAAATGTTCCTTCTTCGTTGAATAGTGTTTTTACTCCCTCTATCAGCACACTTGAATTTGTTATGAAAAAATTGGGTCCTTCGTTTGGAAATTTGGGATGTCCAACTGCTCTTGCATAAATTTTTCTGGGGATAAGATGCGGGGCTGTTCTTTGTATATCTAAGTATAACTGTTGTTTGAAGCTTCGTATATGAAAATCTCGTTATTGTCGGATATCGTATCATGAGCGCTTCAATTTAAAAAGAGAGGGAACGAAACGCATCTTCTACTTCTATTCTAACATATACACACCAATACCCATATTCTCTTTGTTTGTACAGTAGAATATACGAATTTCATAAACATTCACGTCTTTGAGAAGATTGTTCGTGACACCATTTGTCTTTAGGTCAGACCTGTGACTAAATTGTGATACCAGAAATCAATAGCAATGACATTTACGATGCCATTTAGTACTTCCGACGGAACAAGAGTCTCAGAACCATGATTCCAAGTCTGGAAAACGCACTCACTATGGAAAGAATTAACATTACAAGCAACATCTTTTCCCATCAGATCCAGTTCCCATGAATACCAAAACCCTTTTACCCTACCATCCATATTTCATCTTGCAAAACCAAATACCTAAATATAATACACTTCACACCCCCCAACTTCGCAATCCACGGCGTCCTAATCTCTCACTACGGAAACAAATTAACTCTTAAATTCCCCGACGGATTGTGGACATTTTGTTCTCAGTGGTTGCATGATGACGACACGTCATGCACTACACCATCTCAACCCCCCCCCCACACACAAACTAAACTTCCAAACAGATCTTTCTCTTAAAAAAAAAGCGGTTCCTGCGCTCTGTATACATATCGCTACAACAATTATTGCCATTATTCAAAGCCTACATATTTCCAGGACGGGAGCGAAGAATTTATTGGAGTTGGGATGGAGTGATGGAGGGAGGAGTTTGTTTCTGGGTGTGTGGTTTAGGGGATGGACGAGAGTGGTGGGGAGGAGAGGGAAGGTAGGAAGGGAGAAGAAAGAGGGGGTGAGGTTTGGAGATGGAGAGGGATGGGAGGCGGTTAGGTTTGAGATTTCGGGGCTTAGGTGAGAGGATTTGAATGGTGAAGAGGTGAGAATGAGAGTTTATGATGCGTTGTTGATGGATTCTAGGCCGGGGATCGTCAGGATTTCTGATATTCCGGAATTTGAAGGTGCAAATGGTAGCGAGAACAAAATTCTGGTAGCCAGAGTGATAAAGGAGATATTCGGCAGTACCTTCGCAGCACCTCCAAATTCCACAAACGAAACAACCGATCTACACGACCCTTACAAAACTCCAAGCGAGATCGAAGTACAACTTCCACATGCCTTCGCCTCTCAGCACCTTCTTCCCCCCCCCCCCCCCCCCCCCGCATTCAGGCCTGCACCACACTCACGACCGAAAGCACCCACATCTTCGTATCCCGTACCGCCATCTTCTTCACCCTCGTAGAAGAATTCCGCACCTCCTCCTCTATCTCTCCTTCAACCCGTTTCAATCCCCAAAACACTTCCTCACTTCCTCACATCTCTGTTCCTACGACGAGTATCCCGAAGCACGCGTCGTTTATCAAAAATTCCAGACAATCGGGAAGAGGAATTCTCATGCGGTGAAAATTGTGATAAAGCCTGGGGAAGTGTTTGTTTGGGATAATTTTAGGATTTTACATGGGAGAGAATATGGGGTTGTGAATCCGAGGGTTTGCGAGGAGGAATGGGTGGGGAACAGGAGGTGCTGGATGTGGGGAGAGGGGCGATGATTAAGAGATTAGTGGGGTTGGGGATGGAGGAGATGTAGTTGGTGCATGTGTCGGAGAGATTGTGGAGAGTGATGATTGGGATTTTGGGGTAGAGGGGGTGGCCGGGGTGGAGTTGAATGTTAGCTGTAATAAATTTACAATCTTGACGGATGATTCTTGGAAATATCCGAACCTTTACCTTTTTAATTGAAAATATGATCTCTCCACTCATTTTTACTATTCCACACTTAATCAGCCCAAATAAATGAACCTCGTCTATTTAAAGAATCGAACACAAACAGAATGCTCAAACTCCCAGGCACCAAGAACATCACGCCTTAGCGAACAACTGATCTGCAACAACAGTGCATGTGATGAAAGTTTGTACCAAACCTCAGCAGATATTAATACAAAAAGACCAGACCCAATGAACAAAACTTTATGCTGCATAACCGCGCGATGCTCTATTCACCTACTTTAGCGAGGCTCCCCTGCAGAAATCGCCCATGCCTCGAGGTATATGGGCGGCTAAACATCATTGGCTCTCAAGCATCCGACTTAGCCTCAAAAATTCCCGAGATTTCGGTAAGACAGGATAGACTGGTCAATTATGCATTCAAAAAGAGGCGTTTGGCCGCATGAAGGGTTGTGTTATGAACTATGGGTTTCTGACCATAGATTTAACGCAGTGTTTCATTGAATTCTTGCGGTATTTTTGTGGGTGAGATATTTGAAGAGAAGCGCCTCGCGCGAGATGAGAAGGATGAAACCGAACCTGGAGATGCGTGACGCTCAATCACTTGAGGTTCGTTCAAAGCCACTCAAGTCTGTTCTACCAGGAATTTCCTTACAGTGAAGCTATTTCATAGAAATTGCCATACCGAGAGTCTGGTTCAGGGGAAGGGAGACTGGCAGGCAGATGTAAACTTCGCATGTATAAAGAAATAGGCGTTTGCTTCAGTTTGATCATTAGCAGTTTCTATCTTCAGTATCATCATTTTTCATTTTCTCCTTAGCAGGTCTTTTTCCATACATTTTTTATTCTTATATATATATATATATATATATATATTAAGCATGCAACGTCGTCCTAATGATCGTTTCCGCCCGCATGGCCTCGTTACAAATCCAACTGCCGAAAACCTTTATAAGCGCGCTCATATCGGCACACAGGGAATCCTGGAGGCAAACCCGAAAGAAGCTGAGACCTGTGCCTTTATGTCATATCTCATGAGCAGGAATTTCAGTTTGCTTGATGACAGATACTCAGTTGCTGCTGAGTGGTATCCAGACCCAGATCACGGAGAACAAGCAGACATAGTTGTGAGATACTGCCAATCGGGCGACCAAACGCAACAAATTCTTATGATCGGAGAGTGCAAAAAGACTACAAGAACATCGCCCTATTCTCTGAAAGGATTAGAATGGCAAGCTTACAGATAAGTCGGGTACCCCACTTTTGGGCCACCCCCCATTTGGGCCACCTTAAAAAAGCTTACCGCAAGAAGGGATCTCTCTTATTTATTCTTTAATAACTTTACAATACTTAAATCAATTGATTTGAAATTTTGATATATCATTATTTATATTATGTTTAAGATATGTACCAAAGTTGATATTAGTTTGACTTTATATATAGTAGTGAATAGGCATTCAATCCAATAAGCTGCTTTGGATTATAGGATTCTGAGGGTTATTTTTCAAAATTGTATAAATGATTACTTATCTTATCAAAAAGGTATATAATATATACAAAAGATAACTTTGATTCAGGAAAAACGATTAGTAGATTGGATATTAGTCTAAAAGTTCTTAGATACTAATTCTATATATCACCAGATTTGTAAAATTAGGGAATACCTTTTTGATATTAGGGAAAGTGATTTTATACTTGAAAAGCGATAGGTTACAGGTTTTCTTTAAAGAAATCCAGAGATTAGTATCAAAAGACAATTTAGAATCGATTCAGCATATGTCAACAATACAACTGTCAATACTATTAATCAATGGTTTTCAAAGCTGGATTTACCCTTAATTTGTTATATTAAGCCTCAAAATCGATACAATATAAATAAAGCAGATATACAAGAAGGCTAGGGACTAAATGGATTAGTCCTAGGAAGCTCAAAACATTGTTTTATTCAGAAAAAGCAGTCTGGTTCTAAAGCTTGGATGTTACTTATAGAGTATATTTTAGCTGTAAAAAGAGCTCTTGATTTTCTTATTATATTAAAGGGAAAATCAGTATAATAATAATAATTTCTAGTTGATTTGAGTTTCTATAAAGAATGGTATTTTATTACTATAGAAAATAAATAAATTACAAACAATACTGTTTTAGAATGGCTTAAAAAGATATTTATACCTCAAACAACCCTCTCTTTATCAGATAAATCGAGATTCCTTATATTAAATGGATATAGAAATTATGAAATTACTGAATTCATATATAAATATTTTAAGAACAATATATATCTCTTATTTCTATTACTATATACATCATACATCCTATAGCCTTTTAATTTATCTGTATTTTTACTCTTCAAAAGAGTATACAGATACTATCTCAATAAATTGGCTTTCTTATTGAATTCCGGAGTATTAGGAAAACCAATTTCCTTATATACTATTAGAAAGTATGATTAGATGATTTAACAAAGTATAATATACTATTTAAATGGAAAGCTTTAGGTTTATAGCTTCTAAATTGTGCTAAACCTATTATATCAAGATTGTTATTTGAGAATAATAATAAGGAAGTTATAAATCAGAAATTATATTCTGATAATGATTCTGTATATTAATAGAATAAGGAGTTCGCAATTTCAACTTTTAAAATATTTCAAAAAGCTAGTAATTTAAGATTATATACTTATATATTGATTCAGAGTAAAGAGATCAATCTTTATACTTATTATTAGCTTTTTAGAAAGATTATTAAGAAATTTAATACTAAAGATTATAAACTTCTATAATCTGAATATCGAATAAAGCAATTGGAGTATCAATTGGTATAAATCATTTCCAAAAAAAAGTATAAAATAAAAACTAATCCGAATTTGAAGTTTTTTAAGATTAAAAAGATTAGAGAAACACAAATCACAACAGGAAATCGTAAAATTGATATAGGAAATACTAATAATAATAATGAAAGTATATCCTCAAGTATTTATTATAATACCAAATAATTATTGAATAATTAATATTTTAATACTATATAATATAAATTTTTAAGATAGCCCAAATAGGGGGTGGCCCAAAAGTGGGGTACCCGATTTATTGTCAAATGTATTTTCAATCCATGGAAGGCCGTGGTAAAGAGGAGATCTATTCCGCTACAATGGCAGGGGCTCATGTGAGGTTTTGGAGGGCAACAAGAGACCGGAACTTTGACTGCACACAGAAGGTACCTGGCAGATTCCGTGGGCATTGGAGCGACCTCGAGACAGGTGTTATCCTTGATGTACCAGATGCAAAATGGGTTAAGTACCGAGATGTCGGACAAAGCTCGAATATTGGATATTTTGAGTATTGTTTCCGATTGATCAAGCTTAACCCCCCAACCGAAATGGCAAGCGACCGAGAATTTGGGTTGAATTTGAGCAAAATGACAATCGGAGCTGCTACCGGGAACCCTCATGTTCTTACATCAAACTTGCGATTACCTCCAGGAATAGAAGAAAAAATGGCAATCGTGAACGTGAATCGCGAACTGTTTGCAGGAAGTAACACATCTACTGCGCCAGCATCATCTTCTAATTCGGCAAATTCTGCCGTGTATCGCAACTCATCAAACAGATATGAGCAAGCCTCTTCCAGCACCTCAAGGGCACCGGCGACAGGCGCATCGGGTTCAAGCCGCGCATATCCAAGAACAACACATAGAAGCGAGCCCAGCGCTTCATCTACATACAGCACAGTCAGACCAACTGTTGCCACGGCTTCAAGTCGTGTAGCTGCGGTAGCTCCCTCCCGCAGCGAGCGCTACTCACCCGAGAAGGAAGTCCGTAGTGAACGCTCCACTCCAGAGTCTGACTATGGCCCGCATAACAATTGGGGCGTGAAACCTATCGACCACTTTCCAAAGGAGCGAATGCAAGAATTGGAGGCAAAAAGAAGAAAGCGGGATTTGGAGATGAGCGCGGGACGCTATGACAGTCAAACAAATTCAAGCTTCTCGGGCGATCAGTATCGTGATGAGAGATCCATCCGCCATCCCACCGAATCAACGCGCACAGCTGCCACAGGATATTCGGTTGGTAGGCAAGGAGACAGATACCAAGGCACAGACAGCTCAGGTCGTCAACCATCCACGAGTCTAATTTCCGCCGGACGTCCGACTCACAGTTCGAGTGAGAGGCGAGATCCCGGAAGGATGAATCCTGCAGGGCCTTCTCAAGCTAGTACAAGGTATGACACTATGCCTCCAAGAGCCCGACAGATTCTTGTTAGGCCAAAAATTACTCGAAGTAACATCGAATTCAATACTGGGCTTGGTATGAACGACTCAGACCCAAGAGACTGGAAGGATGGAAATGTTGATGGAAAGCGTGCGAAAATCTTGAAGTATGGTAGTAATGAGTATTATTACTTGATTGGCAGTGATGGAAGACCAAGATAGGGAATTTTGGAGGCGTTTTAGGGTTCTTGTCATTTTTAATCAATTGTTTAAGGGTGATTGAATTTCATTCTTGGGGTTTTCTTCTTCTAAATTTTGAGTCGTTTTAAGTTAATCAATCTTGTACTAATTCGTATTCCACTGGAATCCTTGATAAATCATCGAGTCTGGGCTGCCATAATCTAATGGAATCCCATTCGCTTGTGAACCACCATGCAATGCGCTGTATCTGCATGAGTAAATGCATTGATCAAATTTATGGAAAAACTTACCGCGCCAATTTTATACACTTCGACTTTCCAGTCGAGATCTTTGCTTTGCTTGAAAAGCAATTCGAGTCCATGACCGCAGAACTGTATATCTCGCACAAAAGGCTCTGACTTGGACGAACTGAATGCAATTTTAACAGGAGGTGGTCCGATCCAGTCATAAGTGTCATATATAGATATATGTTTCGAGCGTTCCGAATCCAACCACTGACCCAAGACAACTGGGGGCATATTTTTGTCCAAGTAATGAATGAGCATACCAATGCAGCGACCATCAGCTCTGCAAATAGTGATCGACTTGAAATCTTGAATCTTGGCATCATTCATGAACAGAGTCCTCCCAAGGAATCCGATTAAAGGCCGTACTGGATCACAAGTCTCGTAACGAGGAAGCGGGATCTCATCGACTTCGGTTAGATTGTCATCGCCTATAACACCCAGTCTTCTGATTTCAGTTGAGTTTTCAAAATAAAAACCGCTAATGCAGCCACGGTGCTTCAACATCACCCAACGATAACTAGAATATCTAGTTGGGCCAACGTATGGACCGAAACTATAATCTCGACCTAGCGTCGTACGTATCTAGAAAACATAAGCATAGACGTTAGCAAGTTAAGAGATGATAGACATACCAATAAGGAAGGCACAGATTCAATCGCACCATGTGTTTCGAGTCGTAGCCAAACATTTGATATGCGCTCGTCTTTAGCTAGGGGAAAATGTACGGCTACATTCCCACGACTGCCTACTAAATTTGATGTTGTCGGAAAATGTACTTCAATGCCAGTGATACACTTGGACAAAAAATAAATTGTGAGACTCGATGCGTATACTTCTTGAGCTGTCAACGGAATAAATCTAAAAAATGCTAGTGCTGGCTGTCTCTTGTGATATAATTCCTCTGGCTCAAACAGGGTAAACAATTTGCCATCGGCATCGAACGTTACTTCGGGGTGGTCTGGTCGATCCCACATCACCTGCCTTATGGTAGGCTGATGGTTCGCCGCCATCTCTTCTATAGTCAGACCCTGGAATGTTAAAATTGAATACCAGAGGTAGATACAAGGCAAGCTTACATTATAGAAGCAAACCAAAACGTCATTATCGAGTGGAACTTCCCCGTACCAGCAGCGATCAGTGTGGGGGAATGTTCCCATCCATTTCGATTTCCAGTTTTGACCTAAAAGTCTGATAGAACAGATGCCATGAACACTGGATACGACCTGAATGCCGGTAACTGTTTCGACTATTTTAATTCCAGAGCTGGGCCCGGGTCTGTTTTGTGTAGTCAAGGTTCGTATGTACTGTGTACCATACATGTTGATAAAGCTTGAATTGATGTAACAGCCTGGTTTTAATGTGAGTTCTCGTACGGCTGGAGCTTGAATCTGACGGGCCAGTGTTGATGTCTCTCCAGTCAAAAGCATGAAGGCTGAATATGCTGATGTATGCCCTACAAAATTCCAGATTCGCGATCGTAATTCGGGAGGGAGTTTCACAAGTAGTAGTGGCTGAAACATTGCAGATCTATCGTCAACGCTTGACAACAAGCTATCGTAATCAATCTGCGGATAGAGGTTGCCCTTCACCTCTGCAGGCATCTGCCAGGCGGTTGATGGTTCGAAACTTGTGCCCATCTCATAAAGAAGTTTCAATTTGTTAGGTCCGAATTCCCAGGTAAAAATTGAGTAACACCAGTCATGAAAGCAGCAAGCACGTCTGTCTATGGGATCATCGAGCTGAGGAGCTGCCTTGATGTTTATGTTCCTTGAAGGAGACCAGCCAACTAAGGGCGCTTGTATGTCATTTCTCAAAAGGTCAACTACCTCTGTTATAGCTATCGACTCATCTCCATCCTTATTGAGTCGTAAAACTATCGTGTTTCAGTAATCACTTCTCACTAGTCATCGAAAAGAGAACATACCTGCGCGAATCTGTGATTGCCATAGCTCATCCATATTTTCTGAACGCCATTCTTGATATGAAATTGTATCTGGCTGGTTTATGGAATCAAATACAGGGAATCGAGCTCAACATAAAAGACAGTACTCGCTCGCTTTCACAAAGGCAAGAGGTACGCCATCATCATCATTCTCCTCTTCCTCTTCCACTTCATCTTCATCTTCATTTTGGTAATTCAACACTTCGTGTTCGGATTCATGGGTCTCGGACTCCTCCTCTCTTTCATCAACCGCATTTTCAGCGGGTATTTCGACTTCATCGTACGGGGTGACAAAATCAGAATTCACTATCTCGTTATCGTCGCGTGATTCCTCGGTCAGTGTAATCGAATCTTGCGAGATCGCACGATGATCATTTGCGCCATCCATCGCTATATTTTCGAAGATATCTGGAGGATCAACTTGCTCATTCGATGTGCTATTTGATATATCCATATACTTATCTATCTGCCGTCGATTGAACCTTTGACAGAATTGAACGTAATGTCGTACGGCTTGTCAGGGCAACCTTACTGTAATCGATAGCGCGCGGCTACATCACCCCCCGCATACTTGGGTACAATAAATGTCAACCAACCATTCAACATCGGCGGCGGAATGCGAAACACTTTGTCCAAATCACCAAATACGTGTGATCTTTCCCTTCTATTGGTCGATTCAGAAAATTCTAGTATTATTGATTTAATTACTGCATATCACGATACCAAACAAAGTCCTACTGGCATTGCTAACATCGGCTTAAATCAATAAGGTTATCTATTTCCGTAGCCAGCGATCGATTGACCCAGGAAATCGAATACACAAGCCCAAAGACACAGTAATACAGCGTCAATAACAATTCATCCTCTTCCTCCAGCCCAAGTTTGGTGAGTCTATAGAGGCTGTACACAATTCATGCAAATAATCAAGTGTTAGGTTATTCATGCAATCAAAATTCGCTGGTCGAGTACGAAGACACTCAGCTGTAATTCAGACAGCGTATGTTAATATTCGACTTTGATCCTGGTCGAATACAAATAGCCATCTTCAAGAATCGTTCTTCTGGATCAAACTGCGTTTGATATGAGCGCTCGCAGAAAATGCGTTGCTTATTTGAATCATGCATTAATATTAATAATCGGAATTATTACATTGGGGATTGAGGTCTAGCAACAGTGCTGTGAAGAGGTGACATTACGAGAAGACACGACTTGGCAATATCATACAAAATCGATCTCAGGGCCAGAGTATGAGATTGGAATGGAAAACTCTGGAGCCAGAAGATTATGTTCTTATAGGTTGGAAATTCATTTTCTATGATATTTATGTTCCAGTTACGTTTTGGATTATGCTATACTACTTTTCATAATCCCGACAAATGACCTCCTTCATTTGCATACCATTTGCAGGCTGGCCACCTGGATTCCAGAGGCTAATAAGATCCGTGGAGTCTGTGAACCACCAGGCAATATGCTATAAACCGTCAGTAATGTTCGTTAAGAAACTATTACGTTGTGGATTTCGAACCTCTTCAAGAGCAAGATCAAATACCTGTACTTGATCATTCGTATCAACAGGTGAAAATTCTTCCTGTGTGAAACTGACATCTACCACAAACCCTTCTTCGGAGTTTCGAACCGTGCCGATCGGAACATTATTCTCGAAGGCGGAGGATGGCTCCTATCGTATATGAATTGATACTTCTGGTTTATACCATTGCCCCAAAACTACAGGCGGTTTGTATAGGTAATTTATTAGGATTCCCACGCAGCGTTCATTAATCCTACATAAAGTCACTCTCTTCATTTGGGAAAACTTTCCAGAACTAAAATAAAGACCAAGATTACTATATTGGTATTTTGGAGGTCGTTGTCTTGGTGTCTCGTAGTGAAGTAGTGGTTGTACAGGCTCTACCTCATTTCCATCACTGATAATGTTGAAGTTCTTCAAGGTCCAGTCAGAATTCTGAACACAAATCCCCGTGATCTGTCCTTCAAATGTTAAACGATACCACTCGTAGAATCCGTACTCGTCATGAGGTATATACGGCCCCAGATGGCATGTCCTTCCATGTGTCGTTTGAATCTAAAGTGGTGTAAGCTGTTAAGTACCAGGAGGGAAGCTATTTGTATAGAACTGACAATCAATGCTGGTTTGTAATGGCGCTGAAATCTATTTTCCCCAAGCTTAATCCATACAAAAGATATGCGTTCATTGTACTCCAGAGGTAAGTGGAGAGCCACACCACTGTAAACTCCCGTGAGCTCCGTTTTTTTCCCATAATAGGCTTCCACTCCAGTAATAAACCCCTTGTGAAAGTGAAACGTTATTCCTGTAGTATATTCGTATCCCCTATAGAATGGGATATATCTGTATAAGCCATACCCATCCCGACGAATAGAAATCAAGGAAGACTCTTCCTGAGACCATTTAGGTGAATTAACTCTATCCCAGATACCGCCGTAGAACCTTTGCCTTTGGCGTACATCTATATTGAGAACCTGCCAGATTTAGTTGTTTTATCGAGTTTTTGAGTAGTAAGATACTAACTTTGAAAGTGTAATGGAGCTCGATGTCTCTGCGGAATTCTCGTTGGGCATTGACATACCAAACAAGACCAGATTTAGGGACTTTACCAACCCAACAAAAAGATCCATCCGCACTGATTATCTGTATTGCACATATACCATGAGTGCCTATTGCGAGCTTGTAGGAGCAAGCAACTGCTGAGTCGGTGATTGGAATTGTGGTTGACTCAGAACAAAAGCTCTGTATATAATCAGTACCGAAGATCTTAATCATTTTTGGAACAAGACGTGATTCTGGGTATAATGCCAAAGTAAGGCTTGCTGGACGATGCATCTGGTAGAACAAACGTGATGTCTCGCCGGCCACAATCAGAAACGAGGTATAAGCAGATGATGGACCGACATATCCCCAGATAAGTGCTCTCAACTCTAGGGGTAGCTTCGACAAGAATAAAGGTTGGTACTTTGGACCAAGCTCAGTCATATCTGATAACAGGTCATTTATGACAGCCTGGTCATACAAACAAGCTTCGGATTCTGCGATATTCTCCCACGCTGGGGAGATTGAAAGACTTTGGCAAACTTTATGTAAAGTAGCATCTTTATACTTTCCCAGCCTCCAACGAAGAATCGAATAACACCAATCATGAAAGCAGAAAGCTTTACACCAAGATGGGTAATCTGGATTTTGAACTGTGTTTAAGAGAATCTTGGTCGATGAAGAAGGTATCGATGCCACAAGCTCATCTTGAGTAGCACCTTCTGAGAAGGTCATCACTCCCGTTATCCTAATATCTTCTTCTTCTTCATCATCTCTATTTATTTCAATGACTAAAGTTGGTGTCAACATCCATCAATACACTTGAAAAATATACTCTTCAAACAGCTTACTTACCGGCACGGAATTTGTATTCCCATGGTTGTACTTTTCGTCTTTGTCGCCATCGCCATAAAGTGTCAATACCTGAATTTTCTGAGAAAAAAGGGGGAAACTGGGCTTGACATAATACACAATACTTGCACGCCATCCCGATACTGCGTTGTCGCCGTACTTTTGGAAAGATCTCCTCCCCTAATGATTGCCTATAAAGATTCGACTGTAATCTCTCCAGAGTTGCATTTTCATTGCTCAACACACGATTACGTTCCTCGTCTTCCTCATGTGCAAAACTTCCCTGTGCCGATGATGGACGTGACATTGATGTACCCTCCATTAAATTTTCGATCAACGTATGTTCTTCGTTATCTGTATTCTCAAAGCTCTTTCGAGATAATGATCGATCGGATTCGCTCACAGCCAATTCCATTGTCGAATATCGTTGATCAAAATATGTTCGTGTAATTTGTTGTAGAAGAGAAGTCATGGACGAGGAGATGGCAAGTATATGGGCGCCTAAGTCACGTGTTTATTGTGACTGTCTTCGATTGTAGGTTGACTCAAACTTGAATCAGTGGCTTATGTGTCAATGGCTTGGAAATCTTGGTGCAACTCCAAGGTCTTAGAGGTTGTTTACAGAAACGATCGGTTTAGACTCTACTTCTTCCACTCTGTATACATAAGTCACATGAAGATTTTTGAAAAGAATATTTGATATAGCTCATCCAGTCGTACACAAAAATGACTGCCACTGACCCCAATGAATCATAATTGTGTGCAACTCGTCAAAAAACTAGATTTAATACATGATATTTCTAGGTATAATCACCCCCTTATGTTTTCCAGAATTCCTGGTCCGTTGGTCAACACTGATTCCAGTCACAACCGAGTCATCTCTTCCATGTATCTTCTTTATGACCCCTACAGCAAATTCTCCATAATCTGACATGAACTCCACAAACTCTCCTCTATCAAGCAAAACATTAATATGAGTCGCAGCAGTTGTAACCAGGGCTCTACTGAGTACAGACCCAGGAGCATTTTCCCAAAGAAACTCTGTAGCAGCAGTAAACTCTGGAGTATTCCAATGCTCTCTCAAACTTGTTGTAAATTTCTCATGTGCTAGGCTTTTAAGAGCTGGGATAATGTATTTATCGGCGATAATGTACACTTTAGCATTGAAGAGTAATGATGATGGTTTCGTAAGGGGAGCAACTTGAGGAACCGTCTGTCCGAATCCTCCAAAAGCCGACCGCCTTATTTCATGTCGTTGGCCCCATACATCCACGACTGTGTCGGTCGGCTGTTTGGGGGGACTCGAGGGCGGTTCAACCTGCGAAGCATCGTCCGAAGCTTCACTTCCCAAGGCTACCTGATCATCATAACTTCCACAATACAAATACTTAATCATCGCCTCCACAATTGGCAGCTCTTGGTCACTCATATGGTATTCGCCCTTTGCAGCTTCTTCCTAGAGTTTGGTGAGAAAATGCACATCACCTTGATCTGGACTGTTACATACCCAACGATCATCATCCATAGCTGCAGCAATCACCGGTGATCGGATGCAAACTACCGCGCGATGAACATCAAAAACTTTCTCTTCGCAGCGGATTTTCATATCTGCATATTTTCCCGTATCGTATAGGACTTTAATTGCGTCGAGCGCGTCCGACGTATTTGTAAGTTGGCTTTCCATAAGGTGCTATTTCTAAATGAGGTAGAAAGTTTTGGCTCACAGCGATATTAATGACACAATAATCGCAAGAATCACCAGCGCCTTCAGCGAGCCATTGCGGGGTATCACTTGAGTTATATCTCCGCTGAGGCTGAGGTTGCACCAAATCCTACCTTGAAAGACCTGCAGACAGCCTTGTTTTGCAGAAACTTGGATGTCCAATACGTCCATATCACCAATAGATTGCTTCTTCGTCTGAAATCGCACGCTTTTGAATGGATAAGAACGAATTCTCGATAACCTATCGATTGATCCGATACGCGTTATCGACGTGTTGGTTGGTGTACATCCATCATCGGCGCGTCTCATCAAATCGACATTGATGAGCTTCGAGATTTTGATCGGTGGCTGAGAACAAGCTTACGGTGCTCTAAATACCCCTCTTTGCGTGACTTTCGCAAGAGTATGTATTACTTTATAGGCGAAAATGAGCAATCTATACAACATAACAAAACGACATTCAATACCCCTCTTTATATCCTCCATCTCACTCTCGAATCTTCAAATAACATCCCCATCTCGCGGAAACATTTCCGTCCCCACAAACCCCTCTCGACCCACCATCCCCATCCCTCACCAGAACCCACCACTCCAAGCTCCCACGACTAGATACCTACTACACATGCATACCACTGCCCCACCAACTACTCAGCTCAGCATCGCTCTGATACCCTCGGGTTGCACCAGCGCGCATTGCTATCCATGTTGAGCCCAGCTTCACTGCTTGGAAGAATTCGATTGCATATTGCTTTTGTATTCGTCAGCCGAAGCCGCAAATATCCGTTCTGTTATCAATTGGTGCAGTACATTCATAGTACCTAGTAGTCTTTTTAGTAGCTTGGTAGTTCGTGCCCCTCCACAAGTTCTTTGATATATAAAAGCAATCCGGCCAAGTACTTCTCTGATTCTCCCTTTCTACTTTTTACAAATTGAAATCATTGATTTAATCAAAACATCACATCCCACACATCTCAAAATCCTCACACCCCACTCATTCCATACACAGCAGAAATGGCAGGCATAATCCGCATAACCATGTTCAAAGTGCCCTCCCAAGCATCCCGGGATACCATGCTCAAGAACTACGAGACCTTGTCGAAAAAGGCCGTTAAGGTAATCAACCTTCTTCATTCTCTCCCCCTCGTACCTAACTAACACTCTCTTTTAGGATTCAGCCCCCTATATCGTCTCCCTACAAGCTGGCGAATCTCAAGCCAACGATCCCCGTACCCAAGGTTTCTCCGTGGTCGCAAAGACTGAGTTTAAGAGTCTGGAGGATATGAAATACTACGAGGATTCATGCGAAGCACATAAATGGTTCAAGGGCGAGGCAAAAACTTTGGGGATTGAGGGGATGTGCTGTGTGTACTTTGAACCAACTGTTGTTGCTTAAATGGCGGTCGTAGAGGGGGAGGGAAAGTTCAACGGAACTCTGTATAATCACGACTCTTCAGAGGATAGGCACAAAGAGTGAAGGTTACGATCCATGGCTCTCCGAATGGGAGAAAATCTGATTCAGATAGATTGTTGCGCAATAATCATGCACACAAAGTCAGCAAGTCTATAAAAGACTCTATCGTTTAAAAGTTGCGAATTAACACAAGAATGCTGGGTGCTATGAGCTTAGTGATCACAGTCACTTTAGCAGCGGGCAAAACATTCTCCACTGGTGCTTACGATGCGAGGTGTTTAAAATGCTTATTTGTTTGCAAACAAAAAAAAGTGCACTATGGAATAATATTCACCGAACCCATATCAAAGTCTTGCTCTGCTACTTTTATTGGCCCTGCAGACCTCAGCAAACTTTCTTGACGGATTCAATAGTCGCAAAAGACAAGAAGAAAGCTCCTACTTGAGATGTTTTCCGAAGAACTCAATGAGCGTCTTATATCCTCTCTCGTACTCGCTCTTGACTCTCTCGTCCTCAAGATCCGATCGTGCAGCCATCCATCTATTCCCACAAATATCAGCACAAAGGAATTGCACATAGCATAGAAACAACGTACCCATGAATTTGATCCTTGAAAGTCTCAACATGTTTCTCCCCAGTGAGATTTGCTTCAAACTTCTTCACTTCCTCTGCATCTTCATCTTTCGATGCTAGCAGAATAGTAGGAATCTTGATGTTACTTGCATCCTTGGAATCAACCATAGCGGGATGACACTCAGCAGCTACCACAAAAGGGTTGGAAGAAGCAGAGGTAGTAAGGGAGACAATTTTACCACCCCAACAGAACTGTTTTGAACACACATTAGCTACAAAGCTTCAATTCACAGACCTTCAACCTCATCCTAAGTCACAGAGCTCTTTGATCAGAAAATCACTCACCCCAAGAACAGCCCACTTTGAAATTGACGAATATTTCTCGCCCATAGCCTTGACTAAGTCCGGAACTCTTCCGGCAGCCTTTGGTGGAGCTCCCGTCGTCTGGAAGAAATTACCTAACTTCTGTTGCTTCTCTTCATTGTCAGGTGGATACCAGCTAATATCAGCTGGGTTTCCCTCAAAGAGGTCTGGCATGAAAACGAGGTATTTGTTGTGTTCGTCGGCATTGGCGAGGATATCGGCGCCTTGAATGGTTTGGGGATAGTAACCGAAAATATCATAGATAAGGAATATGGCCTTTGTTGCATCCGCTGGGCCAGTAACGTCTGGGAGAGTGTCGTATTAGCTAGAGCTGAGAGGTGGGGGTGGAAGGGAGCATGGTGACAATGAAGAGAAAGATTTGTAGCCAAGATCATTTGATTGATATGGCAGTAGATCTGTGATGACATTCAATTGAAACGGATGGAATACTTACAAGTTTTTAGACCACCAATGGTCTCATATTTTCCCTTTTGTTCATATCCCTTGGATACAATAGGTGGGATGTTGCAGCAAGCTGCGCTGTGTCCATGTTGAGCTTGCATTATGGTTATATTCGAAGGACTTGAGTTTTGATGTGATAATGCGTCTTTTGGAATTGTTGATCAGTGTAAAGAGGAAGAACAAGGAGGAATGAAAGCATGGATAGGTGGGATATTGACAAACACTAACTTCTATGCAATGCGGGGCAACAGCGACAGTGACGTCGACCAACTTCTAATTCCGTTATCTATCCGCTATCTACACGTGATGTGGCTCAGTGATAATTTAAAGGAGAAACTATCACAATGCACGTATCATAATGATATGTTGGTAGAATGTTCATCATTGAAAAGAGAGATTCATTTTGTTCAGTAACCAGGTATCTCTAGGTACAACCGGAAAGTAATCTGTATGTGAATCCCAAAACACAATATTAAGAAAGTCCAGTAGTCCTTTCATAGATGGCGCAAAGACCGCGAATACAGAAAAGGATTCAATTCCTACCAGAACTCCGAGTATATGAAACCGAGAAGAGCAACACTGTAATCAAAACATGCATTGCCGTAATATAAGAAAACTCCCGACTCGAAAATTGTGGCCCTCCAGAGTGAAGAAGCCAGCTGTAAATAGTTCAAACCCCTATCGATACTTGGAGATAGGAAAAGTCTGTCTTTTTTTCCCCCGAGTAATTGTTATGTAGACGTCGGAGAATCTTTACTTCAAAAAGCATGACAACCATAATATTTAGAAAATCGAGTTGACAATGTTTCCACCGATCGTAGCTCCAGCACCGAAGATAGCGGCATTGCCCAATTTCTTACCAAACTTCTTACCCATCTCTCCACCCTTGCTAGACTTTTCTTCGGTAGGTTGTTCTGCGACAGCCATTGGGGGAACGGAGCTATTGTAAGGGTTGCTTGGTCCGGGTGGTACAATTCCTTGTTGTTGAGAGCCATATGGGTTGTATGTGGCCTTCTCGTTGCCATAATAGGCGCCCTGGGGAGACTGGTTTTGATGCTTCTGGACGTAGTTCGATGGGAATACACCCTCTCTTCCAGTCTTTTCATTCTTGCCCATCCACCAATCATCATTCATGTATTCGTAGATGATAATAATATCACCAACATCGAAGTTGCAGTCTTCAGGTTCGGTATAACGGTAAAGAGCGGTGGCGCGTCCGACTTCTGGTCGAGCAGGTGGTTGGGTTGGTCCGCGGGGAGGAAGGTTTGGAGTAGATTGGTATGATGGTGGAGGGTTATCGTTGACATTCAATTGTGAGAATGCGGCGACGGGAGCGACTGGTGCTGGAGCGGCAACGTTGGCACGAGGAGCGGGGGAAGAGGTCGAGTTCAAGCTGTTTTCCGAGGGAAGTTTGCTAACCATAAGCTCATACACCTCGTAAGTAATGAGTTCATCTTCAAGAAGGTTCTCAAGCTCCTGCGAATTGTTAGCATAATCGGAAGAGCAAGAGAAGGAGTTCAACTCACATTCTTGATATTGCGAATAGATCTATTGGCCTTCATGATCTGTTGGCGACGTTCTGGGGGCATTGAAGTAGACATGATTCTGTTCTCGTAATATGCGTATTCCTTCTCAATACAATCGGCACAATTTTGATGCTCTGTACAATTTCGATTTTCACTTTGCGCAACGAGTTGTTCAATCTTTTGCCGTTCGTGTTCGAAGAAGTAAAGCTCACCACGTTGTGGCTTAGACGGCTTATTTCGGGAAGAGCGCTTGGCAATTGTAGGGGATGATGGGATTCGGTAAATCTTCGAATTTAGTGGGAACGGCGTTTCACTTGTAACTGACTCGGGAGTAAAACCACTATTTTCTTTACTGATAACTCCAGAATTAAAATAATCTGCCACTTCTGATTCAGTAACGCTCGGTGTTCGCAAACTCAAAATTCGCGAATGTGGTAATGATGTTGTGATACCTAGCTTTGGTCCTCGGGTTGGTGTATACGTGAGCTCAGACGAAGAAGTTATATTCATTGGTGCCGTATAATTTCTCATTCCGAAGGGACCAGAAGTTGTAATTGGCTTGGCAGCAGAGACTTGACGGATGCTCTTTGGTGTATTGAGGCGAATAGAGCTCTTCCTGCTCCCCGTTGGACTTGGACAAAGAGCTTCGGATTGCTCGCGAAGGGTTCTTTCGAGAAGACTACCAAGGAAAGCGTCGCTATCGACAATAGCTTCTGGGTCCGGATTTTCAGGAAAGCTGAAGTTTTGAGTGAAGGATTCGCGAATTACCAAAGGTGATCGTGCAACTACAGGCGGATCTGTAGAATGGAACAACAATCAATCTTCTGTCAAGGTAGGTTCTCGCGGTAAAGCGATGTAGGGCAATATATGACGGAGAAAAGAAGGCACGTACCCTTTGGAAGCGGCGACATGGGCTTCTGAGTACCCGGCGCTCGAGGAGATTGAGTCCTTGGTATTTGAGGAGATTGACTTCTGGGTATTTCAGGAGGTACAATTGCCTGCGGCGCAATTTTGTTACCAAGATGATCATAGAAATTGATTCCAAGTCCACCAAACCCCCCAAGTTCACCGGCGGCTTCTTCTCCAACGGTGTCCATCTTCTTCGTAGTCGTCTCCAGCTGTACGCTGGCACTTCTTTTGTGTGGTTCAAGAGGGGGTTTCATTCCTTTAGAATTAACCGTTGAAGTGCGTCTCAAATCAATTGAAATTTTTTCGCCTGGCAATTTCGAATCGGTTGCTTGAGATTCACCAGATACTCTTTTCCAAGCTCTGGTAAGTTTGCTCTCCTTGGCTGGCTCGGAAGACGAGATGACGGGGGACACCATGATGGGAAACATCTTGGATGGTTGTTGTTTTGTAAAAGAAAGGTTGAAGGAAAAGGTTTGCGTAGGAGATACCTAGGTACGTTCCTTTGGCTTTCTGTCCATCGATTCACTAGCGGAAATTGTTTTTTTCTGGCCCTCGAGAGTGTTCGGACGATATAGTAAGGGATGAGGCGCCAAGGCGTCAAATATATTGAAGGTGAATTCACAGATTACAGTATTCACAGATTACAGTATTCACTTATTAATTGATCATTATCTAGTGGTCACCTCGATGGTAATTTCAAGATTATGTTGTCATCATTCATAAACAGTCTTTATGAATTCTAAGTGAAGTGAAGTGAAGGCAAAGTCATTGAATGGAAGGTAGATATTTTGAGCAATGGAATTTTGCCGATATGATGGAATTTCTGTTCCATCGTTCTACATAGTCAAAGAGAGCTTTGTTTGACATTGTATTAAGCAGGTTAGAACAATAGGCCTCTATTGTAGAACCTCTCATCCTTCGAATCAAGGAGCTGTATGAATCCATCCAGTCTTTCTACGGCCTCGAGATCTCAGCATAGCACAGATCAGAGAGTTTGTACTATACACCGCTTAGGCCAATGAGATGCTATACCATTAAAGTTTCAACCAGGTACAGAAAACAAGTATATCACGTCCAGTCTCGTACCGAGCTTATGCCCCCATAGTCCCATATAGCGTGAGTTTCTACCTTGAGACAGCCCTTCTGATCCATCCTATCACTCAATATGTACCGTGTTAATGCATCATTTACTCGGAGCGTTGGATTATGTATGAGTCTTGACTTACTCAAAATCCGCACGTTTATAGGCTTCTTGGTGTCATCATTACGATTAATTATGACATGAAGTCACATACTGAGAATTGTGCCGCGCGTATCCGCTAGCGCGGCGTGTATCGTGGTATAAAGAGAAAATGAGGCTCATGAGGCACTCGCATGGCTTTCCAGATGACGTGATGTGGTGTAGTCGTCATTCATAGCTTGGCAAGGGCTTTCCTGACTTTACGAGAGGATTTTCTTTCTCAATGTACGGGAAAGCTGCGTGGCATACATGTTTTGAGCTGACATGATTGTTTTCGCGTATTCATTCTGTCTCTTTTCTTTAGAGGGAGGTGTCATTTGCGCTGCTCTGCACTTCTTTAGGCTTTCAGTCGAGTCTAATTGTTGTTCTTGATTTGGAAATGGATGTTGTGAAGAATACAATAGTCTAATTCAAATCTAATCTATTTTTTGGTTTGCACAAAATGCGAATGGCTCCATAAATCAAGACCTGCTTTCGCCCATGGAATGTGAATAGAAGGAAGAACAATGAAACAAATTCAGCGTTCCATTTTAATCTGCCTCCAAATAGTCCCTTCACCCCTTTGAAACTTGAAATCCCTGATGAACCTGTTCACTTCGCCTGCGATACTATGGGTGTCATCTATGCCACTTGAAATCGCAAAAGAAAAAGGAGCCGCCAAAATGTATACCGTCTAGAATCCCAAAGATCATAGCAAAATTCCGGTACCAAAAATACTAAGAAGAGAATTTTGGGGAAGCGTATCGCAATACCACAAGTGTCCTGGGCCACTATATTTGATAATGGTCATTTTACTTGCTCATCGTACCTAAAGGATACACAAGTAGGAAGATTAGTATCCAGAAATAGTTGGAGGAGTCTCCCAATGTCTCAACATTTGATCCAGAGCTTCTTGCCACTCATACGCAAAGCATGCAGCGAGCTGAGCCGCCTCCTCGGCTTCTGGGTATCGACCTCCCCACATTTCTGGTTTAATCGCTTCGCTCTCAGCATGTGTTTGTATCATCCCACTAAGATGCATTGATCAATATATGTTTTCAACTCATCTCACACAAATGACACGCGGAATAAATGACACGCAGAATAAATGGCCAGGACCTACTCATCATGTATTTTGCTCAAAACCAACCAGGCATAATTCCAACTTCTGTCGCTGTTCAGATCGCTACTCACTCTCCATTTAGCATCATCGAGCAAATCGTTGCTGAAGGTGTAGTTTGGCGTCAAATTGCGAAGTTCATTGAATAGATTGTGGGATGCGACGTAGTAAGTCCAAGCTGCGGTCAAGGGATCTCGAATGAGAAGCAATTCCTCTTCATTGGAAGCTGCAGCTGTTCGCTCAATTCTGCATAGCTCCGTGAGCGTATTTACACGGTGTGTGTTGAGTGACTCGATGAGTTGAGCTGTGCTATCCTGTCAAAGGTTAGCCCTGTAGCCTGTGGAAGGCAATGAAGGAGCTGCAGAAAGTGTCTCAGACCATGACCATGATTGCAATAGGGAGCTTAGGTGAATCTGGTAATAAATGGTGGGTAATAAAAGGGTATCCTTGACTCACTTGGGGTACTGAGGGTCTAGAATTTCTAGAGCTTGAACTTTGACCAACTTGAGAGCGTCTAGACTTTCGCGAAGACATAATTTTGATGACTGTGCAGATGTAACTTGAATTTGTAGCGTAAAGTCTCTAAGAGCTAGATCTCGAAGGACCTTAGGTTGTTGATCATGTGAAGAAAAAATTGCAAATGGTGGTCAAAATTCTTAGATCTGCGGGTAATGAGGAGTTGTATCAGGTTCTGTTCAAAGCCCTAAAGTTATCAAGAGAAGTGTTTGAAGATATAGTCTCATTGAAGGAGAGACAGGACCTAATATATCCATCTAGACATAGGAGGCTTATCTGAGAACGCCCCAGAGTCGACAGAAAGACTCCAGGAGTTCTTCCTGTGCCGTATAAAGCAGGAGAGTCATAGAAGTTTCCTCGTTCCCAGCAGAAGCTTCAACATATCAGGCTTTTACAGACAAGCGAGATTGGAGCATGCGAAACGAGGATGTTGCATCATAGTAAGAATACTTGAATAACATTGAATGACACAATAAATCTCAACGCCGCAAGTACAGCCTAGCACGTAACTCGAGGCACAATCTATCTTCCCATGCATCATGATGTATCGCAGCTTTGCTATCATCCTTGAAGTCGCAAATGCCAAGCGCGTTGTTACAATTCGAGAGGCTCTCTGGACAATGAATCAAACCATAAGAAGTTGAAGGATCCGAGGCCTGATTATTGGAAGTGTAGAAGAGTGCAGGAGGGAAGAAGCAACCTCTTCAACCTCATTGGCAATTGGGATAATTTTTGAAGCAGCACTGGGCATTGTGAATGTTTTAAGATACCGCCGCCTTTTATTGGCACGTACTTACTTACATGGAAGGCAATGGAGTATCCGGGCTATCTTCCACTCAACACGATAGAAGACTCTTCTAGTTGTCGTCCCATGTATGGTGAGACCTCATTAGAACTCTGATATTGGTTGAAAGAATCTTTTGGCCTGGAAATAACCCCAATACCCCATGTCAACCGTGGCAGCCTTGCATGCTACCGATGAGATTTAGGATGATTCGTTACCGGTATCCTAATTTTAAGAGAAACAGCTTGACTTCAAGGCTGAATGGATGGGAGTTCTTTGTCAACAAGTCTTCACTGGTATACATTTTTCCCCTGAGGCCACAATATCAGTAACACAAGTGCTGACTGGGAATGGGCTGATATATGGTCAGCCTCAGTTACGAATAATAAATTCTTATAGGTCAATTTGAACCTCACTTTTCGACAAGACTGCAGTATTTTATCGCATAATTCTATCCAATCCATCTCCATATTCAGCTGTGACACATCATGAATTCTATCAATAGTCATAGTCAACGCGGATCAGAAGAGAAAAGTGTCAGATATAACAACGGAAGGAATCGAATAATTGGATCGAAACCACGATCAGATCACCCTACTCTATTTTCCACAGTAGCAAGGTGCGAACACAATTGCTGTAAAGTAAAGTATTATAATGTATCCAGGTAGCAAGAATGGAAAAGACGTCAGTTCACGGTAGCATTTATCGAGTCATCTGTGGCACAGCTAATCTTCCCCGTAAGATTCCGTTCTAGAACGCTATCCATATCTTACTTGTGGCACAACGTTCTGATCCAATCATTCGGTAGAGTCGATCAATCTTACAAGCGATCTGGATACTGCAAACCGATAATTTATTTCTTGGCAATCTCTAAAATGGTCTACAATTCTGTGAAAAGATTCTTTTTCGAAGAAAGCCTTGAAACCTCGGATTATAGCAATGGGAATTTCTTCAAGTCTGTCCTATGAATGCAAGTAAAATGTCAGCCGGTCATCATTTATTATCCAATCTGCGGCACGTACTGAGGATAAGCTCGTTGAGATACACATCTCCCTTCCAAGCTTATGATACCCAATATCCAGAAGATAGGATTTTGCTTCCGGGTTATTGGGATGCCTCGAGCGAACCTTTTTCCTACGCTGGAAACATTTTCAAGCAGCAAGCTGAAATGAATGCTATTTTGTTTAAAATATGCCTTTTCTGACTTTCCCGTTTCTTTCCAAAGATTGTCAGATTTTCACTTTATATCATCTGTGCTATTCGCACAAGATAAGCAAAAGTTACAAGTTACTAGTGGGAAACATGAATCGGAAGGCTGTTTTCAAAGACGAGTTCTTATGGTGTTCAAATATCTTTTGTAATTTAGCTTTTGTTCATCTGAAAGAGATTAGATATTTAATTCCATGGAATCAGGTAAGTTAATATAATGAAGTCTCATAGTCCCAGTGGGGCTGAGACAATGTAGCTTCGTAGTTTCAAATGGGCCTGGACAATTGAGATTCACCCGTCTCAAATGGACAAGAATTGAGATTCATAACCTTAAATGAGCAAAGAGAACAGAAGCGAATTGTTTCAGAAAGCTCAGTTGACTTTGCTTCATTTTATAAGGTAGACTGAAGAAACTAAATTTGTCTTTAGGAATGATATTAAAGTCGCCAGACTGTTGCCTCGAGATCTCTTTGTCAAAGTGAACAAGCAATCGAATTGAACTTCTAATAATCTCGATTTCCGTCACACGGAATAGATGTCAGTATAATTCGATGCCTGTGTCAAGAGTGATGTATCTCGAAAAAGTCGTGAGTCCTCACATTCGTAGACAAGCCATATAAAGACCATAGAAAAGCTTATCAATGAAGTCCGACTCCCTATTTAAATTCAAATCGATCTCCCATTGGCAAAAGTCACAACGCTAGCTTCCCTCGTGGAACGAGTTGCTCTCCTTTTACTCTTCGCTTCAATGACATTCGTACCTTTCGAACAGAAATTCCTCAGTTTTTGGGGTGAGCACCGAAGTTCATGGATCTCATGTTCGATATTCGTCATGCTCTAGGCTAGCTAGAGAGAGCTTCAAACGAGGGAAGGCATATCACTAGTTATACAATGACTGTTCTCCGCTCAAAACAAGAACACTTCCTAAGCCCCCGGGAAGTGCGCTTCTTATAGATGATGAGGTCCACGAATTTATTCATGCTTGAGAGAAGGTATTTCGAAGATCCATGTTCTAAGGCCTTTCATCGAAGCCTATGCCCATGAATTCATTTAGTGGGGGTCACAAAGAGGGCAGTTTGCAAAATACATTGCTTTTAAATTACAATTGACTATCGTTTTAGAAGTATTGAGCTGAGCCTAACATTGCTTGAATTAACACTCAGTCCAGCATCCTTGTGTCTGACAGTACTCTTATCAAACCATATATGCTCTTTTTCTAGTCCTTGAACATCGCTTCCAACTGTGTCTGCATATCACAAAAGATATTTATGGCCTATACAGAATATCAAAAATCAGTGAGTTCTACACCATAAGTGAGTTGAAGGAAATCTGTCAACAAAAACTCACCTGACTCAATTTTCTTTCCGCCTCTCCCTTCCCGCTCCTCGTAAAACTTATCCTCCACAAGCTCTCATCATTATCAAACTCCAACGCAGTAGGTTGAGATTCCTCCCGCTCATTTCCATCAAACAGAGATTTCACCGCATAGCCCTCCACAGCTGTAGCTGCTAAATCTCTCAACAGCGCTGGCGCAATCGTGATATGATCTACACCCGCTAGCGTCATAATCTCATCGATATTCGTTAGACTAGCTGGTAGTACTTTTGTCCGGAGATTATTCTTGCTGTAGTATTGTTGAATTTCGAAGCAGAGCTGATGCGCTTTATTGGTATCCGTGAATCTGATTCTGGTTAGTCTTTTGAAATGCAATCATAATGATCCGATTTCAAACAGAAATGGGTGGATATATACCCCGCATCGAAATGAACTTTCAATTCATTAACATAAGGTGCAACATAAGTGCACTGGACCTCTCCAGCCAAAGCTGCCTGCTCGATACTAAAAAGGGTAGTGGCTAATGTTCTTATTCCTTCTCTTTCTAAACGTTTGCATGCTTGGAGTCCTTCCCATGTGCTTGGTATCTTCAGGCAAATTCGATTAGTGTCAAAGTTTGGATCGAGATGTCTAAAAATGGAAATTATCCCTGGATAGTTTAGTCTCTGTCAATATCTCAAGGAAAAGTAAAGAAATACTTCGTGAATCTTGAATCATTTCTTCGGTGCCATACGAATGATAAGGATTCGTCTGAACGTGAACAAACCCCGTGACTACGCTCGCAATTGCAAGTTGTAATTTGACCATCTAAGCAGCTAAGTAAGCTCTTCATATTCATCTACATTTCAAGTCGATTCCACATACCGCAACTTCGACTGCTAGCTCTGAGAACTTCACATCTTGGTACTCTTGCGTTTTCAGTAGTTCGTCCGTAGTTTCCGCTGTCTCTTGGAGAAGTTTTTTGTTTTCCGGTTTCTGAAGCTCGAAAAATGCAATTGCTTGGTTGGAAGTACAATCTGTGAAAGGACCAAGAGATTTTGCAACTGTAATTTATCGTCAGAAAAAATTGTATATACCGATTCATACAAGCGATCTCACCCTCAAATTCCATGGTATCGCAATCGACCACCGTCCTCGACCGCAACAGTTCCAGCAAGTTTTTTGGCGCCATCGTTTCGTTGTTTGAAGATACGATGTTTTTTCAAAGATCTTATTGCAATATACTCCAAGAATTTCAAGCAGTTTTGAAAAGATGGTTCAAGTATAAAACGAGAGGTCATTTCGGGTATATTATATGCCGGTGTGAAGTGTACAATGCGGGGAATGATTCGAAGAAGGTTAAGCGAGCGATATGTCGGATTACTTGCTTTGAGTTCAGGGGTGCCCCACTATTTGTGCTACACAAGCTTTTGGGGAAGTCTGAGTGATACCTTTAGAGAACTGTGCAATGCTAAACAACATTCTAGCTTCGTAATGCATTAAATTATTGAATTTCAAACATCTAGGGTTGAATTTTAGAATAAACCCTAAAAATTCACTGATTACACTCTGACCCGTTCTTAAGCATCCATCCTTGATATCAAGCAAAAAAAACCCCATCGTCCATTTTATGTCCTACGCCCTCCTAAATTCTTCGTAGCCCCTCTGACCAACAAACCAAATGTGCTCATCAATCACCCTCTCTCCAATATGATAATCCCTGAACCATCCTCGAACATTGACTCAAACACTTCCCAGAATATTGCTCATAAGCGTGTTCACAGCTTTGAAAAGCCTCTCATCTACATCAATAACTTCTATTTATTCTAGATGAGACACTGATTTAATTTCGCGCTTATGGCTTTATATTCTTCACCTTGTAGCGTCTTATTCTCTGCAGTCTCTTTGAATCCGTCAATCTCCTCCTATGCGGTTGTGATGACTAAGACATAAATCCATGATTTCATTGTTCGGAGCTTTGTGTGCTAGCTAACTGAAGAATTTATATGGATAGTTGTGATCATCCACATAGGAACTGAGCACAGCTCTAAACAGACGTCCCATGACCAACCCGTTTTCTCTTTGCTCTCCACTTTCCACGATTTCTGGCCTTTCTGTGGCGATACCGAAAGCATTTGAAACTCACTTCAGCGAAGCATCCACGGCTATTGGGATCGAAGTTGCTGTAACGATTCCCGAACGATTTGTGTTTGCCAAATCATAGAGCGGAAAGCCTCTGGAATCGTTATAGCTAAGTCTATCATCATCTGTCTTCCCACCTTGTACACTCAGCGGATAAGATTTATCTAATTCATGACACCTCTTCCCCGTTTTCTCATTAGCAAAGGTAATAGAATACTCCGCAACACGAAGAAAGCCTAGCTATGAATCTTTCGGCTTATAATCATCACATAGACAACTTCTAATCCTGCAACAAGAAACCCGGACTGCAGACCCCGGGTTCAATCTTCCCTTTCCGTAATGAAGGAGTTCCGGTAAGTTTACCAGTGCAGTATAAGAGAACTTTTTCGGGATGCAGAAAGCTTTTCAAAGCCCATCACCAACTTTGCCGAGTTTGGATTCTTGGAGGAATATCGTATGGGCTGGAGTTTCTTCGTCTGTTTCTTCGACTAGTTCCCACACGAGTCGCATCCAATCTTCCTTGAGTTCAATAGCAAGTCTTACTGCGCTTCAACACTCCATGGGCATCCAGTCTTTGTGATTTCCAAGACACCCTGAAGACCCTCAGCATCAAAAACAACCTCCAAGTTTCCGTCTTTTCTCTCCACAAGCACAAGCCCGCATGGAGATTCACGAATTTCACCAGATGTGAACACCGCGAAGTCAATCTCCGAAGCAGTTTCAAGTATTACATAAGTTAAGTCAAATTCGTGAGTCCTCTCTGATAGCATCGATGCATGATCTCCACAGTCAAACCAAAGAACAACCACATCTTTCCAAACAATTTTAGTTTCGGAATTGAAGATGGAGAAAACATTTCAAACATTTCATATCGCGCTTGATCGAATCAAGCACTACCAAGTTCGGATCCACTAACCCTGGCTGGGTACGAGTAGAGAGGAAAGGCGCGCCGTCATATCGTGCGGAAAAGGCGTATGGCACTTTTGATGGGAGTGGGAGGGGGAAGATCTCCGCGATAGTATGAAGCGACAAGATGGTTTATTCTTTTTTTGATTTGATCGGATGATGATATCAATGTGATCATTTTGAGACAATGTATATATAATATTCTGATAATAATACCATAAGGATATCACTAAAAATAATACAGCTATAACCAATACTATTAACTCCAACTCTAGCCTCAATCCAGCCTCAATCCAATCTCAACCCAATCCCAATATAATTCAAACACCTTATCCCATCCCATCCCATCCCATCCTATCCCATCCCACTCCATCCCATTCCACCTTACCTCACACTATACTATCACATATCACATATCACTCTACCAACCACCAACTAAATATATCCAAAACACACACATAACAAACCTTCCACTAAACACTACCTACCTACTCAAAACCTACTCATCTTTCATCCCACTCCATTCCATTCCAACTTCAATCCACTCTATACATTCAATCCAAACTTCCAAACTTCTCTTATATATAAACCCATACCAGCAAATCTATATCCAAGTCCATATCTATATCCACATCCATATCCACATCTATATTCAATCTCTCAATCTCTCAATCTCTCAATCTCTCAATCTCTCAATCTCTCAATCTCTCAATCTCTCAATCTTTTAATCTCTCAATCTTTTAATCTCTCAATCTTTTAATCTCTCAATCTCCTCACTAATTCAATCTCTATCATTCAACCTCAAAATAAAATTCACAACATGAGAAGCACAAGAGATATTAAATAGATATCTAGACGTCATCACGGGAATATAGTTAATTTTCTTGAATGTTTTCTAGCGGTGATGAGATGACAAGTTTACTGCTCAGTTTATATTATAGAGGGAGAAAAGATAGTTAGTGTACTGCGGTCAGGCTGATTACTTCGATATCCACAGATTTGAATCAAGAGTTAATGAACAAGTATTCCAAAGAAGCAGGGACGATACAATCAATTTATTCTTCGGATTCGTGTATCACTGAAAACGAGAGTTATATTTCTTATTTCCGGATTTATATATGTATTTCATTTTATGTACTAACATTAAGATATATATGTATATATATACAGTCACCTCCTCATCCCCCACATCCCCTTTATCCCCAAATCATCTAATCCTTAAAAGGGGCGAATTTACTCTTCCTCCTCAACGCAACTCCATACCTCATAAACAAAAACGGCACCGGTATCGCTAGAGTAGCGACTCCCCCTAGTACACTCATTGCTGGCCCTACCCCCATAGCCCTAAACATTGGGCCCGCCGCCAACGGAAAGCCAGTCGCCAGAATACTTCTCAGGAAAGTATTCGCACTTACCGCGCTCGCCGCGTACAATGCATAAGTATCAACGAGAAAATTGATACACTGTTGGAAAATAATATTAAACCCAGCGCCGATGAATACCGAAGCTATAACTGGGAGAATCCAGTGAATATTTGGCGCAGCCGTCCATCCGAACCAGAAAAGTCCGATTGCGAATAAGATGCCTCCGAGTGCCATGGGGGCGAGACGCGCTTCGGGAACGGGACGTCCACCTGCTGCGTCGACAATACGCGCGTAGCGAGGTTGATTGCCAAGATTGACTACGACGGCTAAATTGACTCCGACGAAGAGGCCGAGGAAAGGGAGTGAAGCTATGACGGGGGACCAGCCGCGGTTATCGGAGAAGACGATGGGGAAGACTTCTAGAGTGAGGTAGAGGATCGCGTAAACGAAGGAGGCGTAGAATGCTATACAGGTAACCATTGGCTCTGTAGTAAGCATTAGGAGGGGTCTCGAAAAGTGCTTCGTGACAATGGTCTTGGCATCGAGTTTGATTTCTTCATGTGGATGATAATAGGCATTATTGCCTGTTTCTTTGCGAAGACGAGCGGCTTTCTTCTTGAGTAGGACGGGGGTATAGACTTCGGGAAGACAGATCAAACACAATCCGAACATTGTAAATACCCAAATCGCCTCGAGATATTCCGTCCATCTCCATCCTAAATGTGGATTCACAAGCAAGGCACTTCCGATCAAAGGTCCTAGTGTCGGTCCACCTACAACTGCCACTGCATAGAATGTAACAGCCGTTCCTCGAGCTTTAGGACTCCACATATCTCCCAACGCTGCAGAAACATTCGAAACAGGTGCCGATCCGAATAATCCTCCAAAGAATCTCGTTATAAAAATCGATGCCGCGTTTGTACTTGTAGCCGTTCCAATGGAAAACAGTCCCAGACAAAATAGTGGGGGTAACATACTCCATCTTCTTCCCCAAAGCTCAGATATTGGCGCCCAGCAAAGTGGTCCAAATGCGAATCCCAATCTATTTTGAAATGTATCAGTACCCTCATCATTTCAAAAAAGCAAAACAAAACTTACATGTACAGACTAATACTCAACACACTAACTTCCGATCCAACACCAACATACGCCGCAATCGTCTTCCCCGCCGGACTAATAATACTACTCCCCAAACTCGCACTCAAAGCCAACATCCCCAACTGAAACGTTATCCAACTCTTATACAACGTCGACCAATTCCGCGGATTCCCTTGATCATCATCCCCATCCCAATCCACCAATATTCTCTCACCCCGACTCTCATTCGGACCCGAACTTTTCTCGTGATCAGCGACAGGAATTGTCTGAATCTCGGACGGCGAATGCGAGTGCGGTCTAGACAATTGCGAACTTGGCCGTCGAGGTGGCGTCTCGACATCTGTCGTTTCTCCATCGTGATCCAGCATTGAAGTGGCGTTTGGATTCCCCATTGTTCTCTCCTCCTTCTCTACCTCCCGCGCCAAAAAATCCCCCTCGATTTCCGTCTCGGTATCGGAATTGAGCATCGTATGCTTCTTTTCTTTTGTTCACCTCACTATTATATCTTCCCTACAATCTCGAGATTCTCTGCGATTTCACACTTCACAAAAAGCGCAACCACCGAGAACCAATCCCAGAAAAATAGACAAGAACTAGGAAACGCATCTTCGAAATGATATGAAATAAAATGCGCAAAACAATCACCGCAGTTACACTTCGACCACTTACCCAAACAATCCAGAAAAAAAAGACTCCACTTACGAAAATAAACACAAGGGATCCTCTCAATGACGAATATATATCCATGTTACCAATCCCAATTAATCAATTCTCCAGTGCTTGTACGTACAGAGTGGTGACATCTTGCATCCACCGATTCCACGCACCCCAACGCCCAAGCAGGGTAAGAGAAGTGTCCCAAACAGGAAAAAGAGCGGTTCCCACGGCAAGAAGCTTTGCGACTGACTAATCCGATAACAAACCTAGAAGGTTTTTGCGAAGGAATCACGGGAATCTTATCTTATCAGCCTTATACCGCGGATCTGAAGATATTTGGACCAATCAGCGAGTGATGTGGCAATGTACCCCAGCTGGGACCGAAAAGATGCGGAACGAACGATGCGGATCAGGGTGAGTGACTGTCGGAAGAATGGGTCCGTGGAGTCTTCAAGGCATGCTGGCTCGAGGCTGGGGACTCTTGGAGAATATAAATAAGCGTTGGAAGTCGTCTACACCGTAGACTTGGTCCACTGTAGATACTTTGTACAGAAAAGTTAGCACTAGCCTAGCTGTATATAGTGTAGTTGATACGCAGTGTGGTTAATACGCAGTATATCAACTCATTCCTTAATGTTAAGACCTTTCCACTCTCAAGATCCTCTCAGATAGCAACTTGATTGATTTATATAACCTTCTTTATATCACTTAAATCACTCAAATCTTATCACTCATCGCACTTTAACAAAGATGAAAAATCATAATGTTGCACCAACCTACTAATGAGGCATGAAAAGCTACAATAACGATAATAATAAAGGTAGATATCCAGTAGTACAACGATCACTGTCGAAGCAAAAAGGAAATGTACTCCCGCGGTACGGTATTCGCCGGCACTATTCTTCCTTCCACTCTACCCGCAACACCCACTTCGCACCAGCCGCATCTCACAATCCTCCCTCACATGTAGTCAAATACCGCTCGACGTCCTAGAGTGTAGTCGCACCGCTCATGATCGTTCGGAAAATTCGTTTTCCTTCTCCAAGCTTTTTAATCTGGTCCTCCAAATATGCCCTCTCTTGTCTGGCTTGGCCTGGTTCACTAGCAATCGCCTCGACATCTTGGTCAGACATCTTGTTGACAGCAACAGGGTCGAAAATGCGTTCCAAGCCGCGAACAATGTGACGCTCGACTACTTGCGTAGTCACGTTTGCGATGAAAACCTTTTGAAGGACCTAGAGACACATTAGTCGATATTTGGTAAATGAATCTGAGTGAAAGGAAACGGACCTTGTAGATTGCCATGACACAATCCAAAGCCGCTTCGCATGAAACGACTTCCATATCTTTCTCGGTGCTCTTGAAGAGGCTTTCCTTCAATTTTTGGATCACAGGACCTAGCTGCACTCCTTCAGATGTCTCAACCCCGGCGGAAGCATCCTGACAACATTTTTCGAGTTCTGCATTTGCTCGTTCTTCCTGGCGGCTCTTAATCGTATCGGTGTAATAATGATTGTAGTTGATGGGATGGTTCATGTTGTCTACAATCAAGTTATCCAACTCTCGACTGGCGGCAGCATTGCGATTTCTCAACTCGTCCTCGATCCGGGATGACCACAAGCGTGATTCAACGTCTCTTGGGGTCATTTCTAGAAGTAAGTTCTTGAGGAACTCGGTGCACACATCGGACACTCGTTCAATGTGTTGTGCGGCGAGCTCTTCCCATTTCACGGATTGCTCCCAATACAGCTCTGAAATTAGTGAAGGGTTGTAGTTGCCTGGAAGCTCCTTTCCACGAGTCCTAGTGAGTGCCTGCCTCACCCAATCCAGACCCTCCTTCTTCGTAAGTCTTTCAGGCTCGCCTTTTTCAACTGCTTCTTCTGCTTCCATCGTTCCTCTAGTCGATTGTGCGCCTACAGAATTGTCGATCTGGTATTTGTGACCTTTTCTACGCACTACTTCCGTGAATTGAGAGTTCATCGTTTGAACACAAGCTCGCATACGACGAAGGGCTGCTTTCTGATCGAGTTTGAACTCGGAGTTAACTTCACATTGAAAGTATCGCCCTTCATAATGTCCATCAACCGCAGCGGCGCAGATTTTTTGGACATCGGTGCTGAGCTGTACCAGATATGCTCGACACTCAGAAGGTGTAGATCTAGCATCGCCGAGCAACCCGAGTTGTTCACTTGCAGTGGCGAGTTGCGTTTCAAGATCACGACGGAGCTGAGGGAGTTCTTTTTTGATGTGTTGGAACAATAGAGCGGCCAAACGACCACGCAATCGTTCGATGCCGATGTGATTTCTCGACAAAGTCTTGAAGTTGGAGGCACGAAACCAAGAATCTTCCGCCATGTTACGTTCCATTAGAGAAAAATCTCTCTCCTCGTATCTTCGATTCTTTACCACGTGCCAACCCAGTCTAAATCTGACATTCTCGTTCTTCGCCAAGCTGATGAAAGCTTTCTCATTTCCAGAGCCTTTATCAAGAGTATCTGGCTTAGTGATGATACCAAGAGTGCGATCCCCGTGAGGATCGTGGGCCCTCACTCTCTTCAAGATTTGCTGATTCGCAACGTCGTTTTTTGCAGAGACAACAGCAAGGCAAATTGTTCGAGGCTGCTTTATGTAATGCTCTGTTATGGCTGCGACTGTTTCAACATCTGCAGCTGTTGCCTCGACAGTTTCAGAGGCGATCAAACCCGGAAGATCGACCAAAGTCAGCTGGGGACAATCTGGGCCACAATATTCAATGCTCAGGACATCTCTCGCAAATGCCCGTGGTGGAGCATTCGGGTCGAGATTAGCACTTATACCCATAGCTTCCATGGCTAGATCCATGATTCGAGGAAGTTCATCAAAATCTGTGATGCTTTCCACAAACCCCTTAATCATGGTCTGCTCTTTAGATGGCCGCTCATCATCCGGAATAATCTTGATAGTCAGTGTTTTCGTGTCAGCGTTGCGGAGACTAATCTCAGTTGCAAAACGAGTACATAGATTGTCATTTCTCGGGAAAGGGATTTCGGTCAATGCCTCGAGAACCGAACCTGTGGGTGTAAAGTTCAGCATGCTTTCTAACGCAAAATACATCTAAAATTACCAAAACTCGAAAGATAAATTGTTGTACTTACTTTTACCAGCAGATTGGTCACCACAAACGACCAGTTGTGGAAGGGGCAGAGTATTCTCGAGGCCACACTTTCTCAAGTGTGCAACGGTGTCAAGAACACGTTGCTGCTCCTCTGTTTGTAGACCTTTGAGAGAAGATGTAGTCTTCAGCTCATCTTTGGGAATTGGGCTCTGAGGAGTGATTGGACTATCGTGAAAGCTCTCATCATCTACAGCGACAGATGATCCACGAGAGGAAGACATATTGCCTGGGTGTCGAGAAGCTCTTTCGTGTCTAAGAAGTTGCCGACTGTAGATAGAATCTGATTGCTGTGTCGCTTGATTGCGTTGAAAAGATATACTGTTCAGAATAGTAGAAACAAAATTCATACAAGGAAATCTGCTGTGAACAAAAACTGAACAAGAGGTTATCCCATCATATTTGTACCTCGATCTTTCAACTGACATGTCCATCTACCTCTCTTCCCTTCAACGAGGCCTTCCAAACGGCCACCCTCAAGCATGCTGCGGAAAGGCTGATTCATGCAATACATGCATGATACCGCACCCCTCCATCAATAAAAAGCAGGCAAGATTCTAGAGCTAAACGCTGCCCTAATACCTGCTACAATTTTGAGGCCTACAACTCCAACCAGCCAATCATGTACACACGGATATGCAATCAAGAATAACAATGCGGGCTTCCGCGCTGATCAATCTCGATAATTTAATTGAAATGATAAACATAGACATATTGCAAACACTGAAGAAGAAGAAAGCATCAAGAATCGCAAACAAATACAGAATAATGTATGTATCTGCGCGACTCGTCGAATCAAGAAAAAGCATAATCATAAACAAACGAACAAACAATACCACACCGCACCCCACCACACCATCAAGCTGTGCCTCTCCTTCGTCAATAGGTTACAATATTGTAACTCCAATCTCTACCCAAAAATCGCCCCCAAACCACTGAGCCGCAGAAAACCCAAACCTGCTGAAAATTGTTGGTGACAAGTTGGCTCTCCCTATTCATTCATTCGTTCATTCGTTCATCCATCCAGGATATCATACGCGTTTCGCACCACAATCTCAAAACACAATGATAGGTAAACATAGAACATCTCTAAATCACCATATAATTAACATCCCATCCCGAAAGAGATTTATCTACAATTGGAATCGTGAGCGACGATCAATTCCCATCTATTTGGGAATTGCATTAGGGAAGAAGATGTTTTGTTGCGTTTTGGGAAAATAAATAGCTAGGGAGGTGGATAGATGATGGAATGAAACGACATGGTGGTTTTGTGACCTTGCCTAATGGTAGGCGAGGCGCATTTCCGTGCCTCACTCACTCACTCACTCATCTAGGTACCTCGCAACCTTCCAACCTTACCTACCTAGTTTTAAAGATTCAGCCACTTCTGATGAATGGCTGGGCAGATTTTATGATATCCAGGTAGGTAGTGATATTGAATTGAATTGTATTGAAAAATACCTGGTACATCCATATGTATGAACTACAACAATAACGATAATGCGGAGATCCTAGGCCTCGAGATAGATACGGAATATCAGATACAAAATTTGTTTTCATTTGTTTTTAGATATTTACTTCGATGTGGTTTTGTAAATATTTGGATATATATATACATCTATTCATCTCAAGTATTCATATAAGCTCTCCTTATTTTCATTCTCATTCTCATTCTTCTGCGCTAGTACTCGGCTATATAAACTTCATGGTTTTATTGCCTCTTTCTCTATTCCTATTTCTTTTCCTCCACATCACTCTCCTCATTAGCAAACTCATCTCTCCTCAATTCTTCCCTATCTTAGGAGTATTCTTTCAACTTCCAACTTTCACTCAGTAATTCTAATCATCCTACCCACCTCTTCATCAATATCTCTTTTGTGCACATCCCCCTCTCAGCTCATTCCGATTCTCTCTTCCCTTCTCTCTCCAACTTCCTTAATTCAACTTCTGAATCTCAAACTTCTTAATCTCAACTTCTTAATCTCAACCTTCGTAATCTCAACTTCTTAATCGCACTTCCTTAATCTCAACTTCTTAAGCTCACGTCTAATCTCAGCTTCTTAATCTCACTTTTAACCTCAACTGCCTTAATCTCAACTTCTTAACCTTCAACTTCTTAATCTCACTTCTTATCTCAACTCTTAATCTCAACTTCTTGAATCTCGCCATATACAACAGCATACTCATTCGATACCTCGAAATACCTCGAAATACCTCTTATCCTGTTTGCTATTTACTTTCTCCCTCTCTCTCCCTCTCCGTATACTCTACATCTCCCAAGGTCGTTAGATTAGGCACTCATTTACTCACCTCCTCCTCCCGTCCCTCATATATTTCCCATCTCCTATTTCCCAACCTCCATCTTATCTCAATCTCAATCTCAATCACATATCATCTCATCTAATCACCCAACACCCCTCACTCATCCATACAAACCTTCTCCTTCTTTCCCTTCCTCTCCCTCTCCCTCTCCCTCTCCTCTCCCTCTCCCTCTCCCTCTCCCTCTCCCTCTCCCTCTCCCTCTCCCTCTCCCTCTCCCTCTCCCTCTCCCTCTCCTTCTTCCAGCCCCTTTGATCTCTCCACCAACTTATTCATCAATCCACTCCCAAGCCCTTCCTATTTCCTCTCATCCTCATCCTCATACTCATTCCCATCTCCATCCCCATCCCCATCCACCCTTCCCCCCTTCCAAGTCCCCTCCCCTAAGGAATCCAATACAACACAATACACCCATCTACGCACACCCCTCCTCCTCACTCCTCTCCCTCCCGATCCCCCTCCCGATCCCCCTCCCGATCCCCACTCCACTCCACTCCACTCTACTCCTCCCTCCCCCCAAATCCTCAGTTCCCATAAACTACAATTCCAATTCCAATTCCGATCCCAAACTCTTCAAACCAGAAATCTAGCTCCACACCATATTCACAAACACACACACATACATATACATCAATACATACACATACACCAACACATACACATACACCAAGTCCAAATCCAAATCCAAATTCAATTATCTCCAACCATCAAATACTCAACTCTGTACAAATGACTTACTTCTTAATTTATAAACAACATATTCATAGGTATATTCATAGGTATATTCATAGGTATATTCATAGGTATATTCATATATTTATATTTCTCTATCTATGCATGTATATATACCTAGGTAGGTAGGTAAGATAAAGATATTCATCCATCTATCTACACACCACACCACACCACACCACACCACACCACACCACACCACACCACACCACATCCCTCCACCTCTCAACCATACTATGAAATCTCTTCTCGAATGCCACTTAAAATGCAATTCCGATTGATCCTTCCCTCCAATGATTAAATTCCACAGAACGCACTATCTTCATACCGCTTTGTTCGTAGTCGCTTCTCATCCAATTCATATGTCATTATTCTTCCCACTTCATCTTCTATCATCATCTTCGTTATCATCATCATCAACATCATCACCTCCATCTCCATCCATCTCCAAAAAATATTATCAAAAACACCTCCCTTCCCACCCATCCATCCATCCATCCCAATCCCAAACGAAACCCAAATAAAACATATCGATTTATCCATCTATACCCAACCAGTCTAAATCTTCAAAACTCGCTCAATTTCACAAACGACAAAGGACAAACAAAGGATACCAAAATCCAAGTCTATCACATCCAATCTCATCACATCTTAACTCTTTTAAAAAATCTACCCAACACATCTCTACCCAACCCAACTTCTATGTTTCCCCTTTTCCAAACTATCAACCAAAATACATTTCAACCCTGATTGACAAACTCTACTCCTTCCCAAATTTTTGAATTTTGGTCCAAGTGGTCCATTCACATAATGATATTGACCCACAAATCTCCACTGCCTCCAATCAGACAATTCATAAAATTTATCTCCCCAATGACCATTGAACCAAAACCAACCCGTGGGTGCATCTGGATTTTGGGCCGCGGGTTGAAATGAATCAGCCATTGTTTGAGCGGGAAGATTAGAGGTTGCGAATCGTGCATCGACATTATGAGTAAGAGATGTATTGAAGAAGTAGGCTCGGTAATTAAGAACGGGATCCCAAATTGGTCCTTTATCCGTCACGTCGGCGAGAAGTTTGAATGGCAAAACGTATGGATGTGTACCGGGAGTCGCATACATTGCGTGAGATCCCACGGCACTGTAAATCACTGGTCTTCCTTCTCTTCCCGGACCTTGACCTTTCTCAACTGCTTTATAATGATATCCCAACCCACCAAAATGGGCAGAGAAGAAAACAGCTTTGGGTACACCATTGTAAAAGCGAATGAGAGAATGTTCCCAATCACCAACGTGATTTCCAAATCGCATCTTCAAAACGGTTGTACCAAGATTGTAGGAATAAAAGTAAAACCAAAACGCATCCACGATACCATGTCCTTTGTCCACAATAATTAATGTCGCCGGAGCTGGGGAGTATCCTGATTGATCTGGTTTACCGGAAGAATCTCCACGTTTCTTCAAATTGCGCTTGCGCTGTCTTGTGATTTGAGGTTGTGCGCGAAAGGTTGGCTCAAATGGTGCGACAATACTCATTCTATCTTCATCACTCGCATCGTCCCAGGCTTCCTGACCATCTTCTTTAGTCTCAATGAACTCCTTCTCTTCTTTCTCTTCTACTGTTTCCCAATCCTCATCGTGCTTGATTTCATCTTCATAAGGTATTGGTTTATTGTAAGCACTCCCAAGCCACCTGGGTCTATCTTCCACATCGTCCTTACTTTGCATAAATAAAAGTCGACCTCTGCGTCCTTCGTTCAGTAGATGTAAATTGTGTAATGTGTGTTCGGAAGTATTCATATGCAATGAAGTATGATTTTCGTAAGGAGTAACATGATTTAAATGTTCCTCGATGTCCGCAGGCCAGAACCTCTCCCCCGAGTAAAGATGTACGAGAGGTGCGTGGTCAAGAACGTATTGTGGAACTTCTTTCAATACTCGCTCATCGCCGTACCAATCGTCTGGGCGCATCTTGGGGGCATTCTTGTAGGCATCATCCCATTCGACCCAACTTGCATCCAAGTCATCATCTCCCATGATTTTCTGATCTCTTGTAACTTTATTTAATCGACGTTTCCAAGCCGGATCGGAATGATAGTGAGCAAGCCCACAGAGACCCAGCCATTTACATGATTGTCTATCCAAGAAGTGTTTTGATGTAGCGATCCAGCGCGCATCCTCTCTCATTTCCTCCGATATGTGTGTATTCGGATCGAGGTATCGATGTAACGAGGTGGCTCCGAACCAAGTCAGGCAGACTAGGACGATTCCCAGGAGGATTCGTCGCATGGGAATCATATTGTAATGCTTCGTATACGGCGTTTTAACATAAAAAGGGTATCTTCAACTCAAGGAAATGAGGAAATGGAATGGATGGACTAAATCATTGAGGGTTTCAAAAGACGACCAGCGGATCTATTCGCGATTCGAGATGGGTTGCGATCGGACTTAAAGTCGAGGTAGGTGGGTGGTGGGTGGGTGTTGGAGATGGTTGAGTTTCTTTGTTGATGGATTAGGAAATCAATTGATTTTAAAATAGACGTGATTGGAATGATTGAAAAGTAGGAAAGTCAGAGAGAACAATAGCTTTGTCATGGAATCATTCCTCATCACCTAATCCATCAATGACTCTCCGAAGAAGCCGAGCTAAGATTTAGAGTATGGATTGAAAGGAGGGGATTGAAGTTTAAGGCCAGACCAGGAAGGCAGACAGGGAAGACAAGGGAGGGAGGGAGGCAAGGTAAAGCGCTTATCGATTGTGATGGAGTATGAAGGAACGGTGAAGGGGTGGGAAGATCTAATACTCCATATAATAAGTGGAAATGTTGATTGTACTCGGTATATATCGTAATATATATACAGGTAGTAAAGTTATAACCTTAATAATGGTGGGTCAGTGAGATGTTGGTAATTCCCATGTGCTTCACTTTGTATCAAGTATTTGTATGTACCGATATCGATTAATAGAAACGACAACAACGATGAACACTTGGACTTGGCTATGTTGAATCAGAAGTTCTAAAGACGGATAAATCGGGATTGATGATGGGACTGTTATTGGTGTTTAGAGATCTAACTAGGTGGTATGTATCATAATGTATATAGGTAGGGAGGTGAGTATGTCGGTAGATATCTAGTAGATATACTAGATAGTTATAGGTAAGATATTTTATAGTACTTTGAATATATTCAAAGATTAGTCAGCATATATACATATATTGATATATTTATTAATTTATTTATCTATGTATTTATTCATCTATTTATTTTTCTATTTATCTATTTATCTATCTATTTTTCTATTCATCTCTATCTATTCATCTATTTATAATTTATTACGGTGAATATAAAAATCAAATCCTCACTTAATAATAGATAAGCCTCAAGCCTCACTTATTAGTTTATAACCCATTAGTATACATTTAGGAAGTATTAAATGCATACTACTCATCACTCATCACTCACCACTCACTCCAGAATCATTATCCTCAAGTCGTTATGATTGCATGACTAACTACTACTTGATTGCATACCTAGTACACCAACACAAGATCAGACAACCAAATGCCAATGAA